TACCATGTCACTCATTCTAGGGAGGAAGGGTTTGTTTATTTGTAATGATGTGATGGTCTTTCACTGAGCAGCTGAAGGGAGCTTTGGGTTGTTAATGACTAGTGATGTGGAATGCTGCAAATTAGAACAGGGTAAGGAGGCAGGCACAGCCTGAAAGCAGCTGAAGCTGTGGTCTTTATAAACTCCAAAATCAGGAAAATTTTTTTGTACACTTGAGTTCTATTGTTCAATTTTTTGTTTTTTCTTCTCATACTGGAGGAACTTCTGTGTCAGTATGTAAATCTTTAGCTAAAAATCAGAAATAATAGACTGAATTAGCAAGCACTGTTCTCAGTGTGCTTTTCTGTTTTTGCCACAACACATGAAAATTTGAAAAATGTTTTAGTGTGAAACTCTATAGAATAGTAAGTAGTAGGGGGCTAAAATGTTATAGCTTCTTAATGTGGAGAAAGAAATGACTATTGTTTTTCATGTTTATGTGTTTGGACAGATGTTTAATTAAAAAGTAAATTGTGTCACCAGCAGTATTAGCAGAAATGTTCAAATAATAAAGAAAATAACACTCACCTTATTGTTCTTATTATGAAAAATAAATGTATTTTCTAAAATATGAAAGAAAAAAATATATATATTATCTTACCTTCAAAATTTTACTGGTTTCCTTTGAAACCAAAAAGTAGTTGCAGTCAATGTGTGCAACAGAAAATAAACAGTACAAATACCTCCAGAAATGAAGGCATCATTTATCATGTATATTGGATAAAATCAAAACTTCTAAGTATGAGATCCAAGGCCCTTTCTTTTACTTTTTCAGACTAATTCTCCTGTTCTCTAGACATATCTAGCTGCTTATGTTCCCTGCAAACACTGCTCTTTCTTATAATTATCTGAACTGTGTGTTCCCTTTGCTTAGGATTCTGTTGCCATCTCTTCACCCAGTGAATTCCTACTGTCTTTGAAGACCTAGTTCAAATGCTTCTCCCTGACCAGTCTGCCCCACTCCATCCCAGTCGAAATTAATCTTTGTTTATCCACTGCACTTTCCGTGCTCCTTTAGTACAGCAGTTACTGTATTGCATTGTCATTATTTGCTTGTATGTTTGTCTTTACCCTTTAAAAGATAAGCTTTGTCCTGAAGGAAGATACTTTGTCTTTTTAATATTTTCATATCCTGTTCACTAGGCACACTTCCAAAATAGCATAAAATGTTAATGTTTGTGAAATATTACATATGTATACATAAAACCAGGAGATATTTTGGGGGATTATTTATTTCTTTGTGAAAATCACATAAACCACAAGTTGAAATTTTTAATAGGGCGATGTCATAATTTAAAATCATTCAATATACTTTTGCTTCAAATACATAATGAATTTTGAATGAATTAAATAAAAATAAATTGATTTAATAACCATTTACCTTTGTAGGTCTAATTTAATTTTCAATCATTATTTAACATAAGACATACTTTGTATACTTGTTTTAATGATCCCATTATTTTTGACAGGATCAATTTGGCAAAAATTACTTTGTGGCCTGTTATATATATAAAAAAAATGTTATTAACAAAGGTTTTCATGTCAAGAGGCAGGAGAGTGATTAGTGAGAGTTGTCAGGATATTTTCTGATGTCCTCTTATGTTCTTGGCATTGCATTCGATACTTTGTTTGCTTGTTGAATTCATATAACAGTTTTTACTGTTATGTCATGAGCAAACTATAGAACAGAGTTTAAATAATTTGCCCCAAAGTTATATAGATAGCAAAAGGAAGACTATTTCTACTGTACAGCATGGTCTAAATCTAGAATGCGCATTCCTGTGTAAGAATTGTGTAGTAGTAATACCTCTTAGTCGTATTTGTGATACTATTTGCCTTTTCTCTTTCCTTGTCCTTCTCTCCTGTAGATTTCAGATTGAAACTTTCTTTCCATCTTCTCAGCACTTTCTTTGAAGCCTCATTTTGGGTATAAATTAATTTTCAAAGTTAGGGTGATTATGCCCAGTAAATAGAAGCTGAAGAATACCTTAGAAATAAATCATTGATGTTCTTCTTTCTGGTATTTTTTGTTGTATATTAAGAAGTAATTTAAAATAGAAGCTACTAGAACAGTTAAGTGACTCAGTTGTGATACTTCACAAGAAACTATGCAAACCAGTTGTCAGCATTTTCTCTTCAGTTGCAGTCAGTTCTACAGTTGGGAAAACTTGATCAGCTATTAGAAATTAAAATGTAATTGGTGATAAAATTAGATATATTAATATGAAGGGGCTGAATTCTTCCAAATGCAATCAGAATTGTCTGGCTAAGTCAGGGTTCTGATCCATACAGTAAGGGTTTTATTAGAGTTTTTGAATCTAGTAGTCTGGGATTTAACTCTACATTTTATAGAACATTTTCATTGTTGACACTGAACATATATTACTAACAATAAATGAAAAATGGAGCAAATTAATCAAGATATGTCTTGAATTTCTCATCATTACTGAATTAAGAAGGAAATCTGTGTTACCAAAAACTTTGACTATGTAGAGACCTCTCTGCAGACTTCTAATCTAAATTTCTCCTCTTACCACATAGTTGGAAGTTGAGGTTCAGGACCTATTTTACATGCTGAAATCATAAAGCTTTTTATTTTTTTTATTATTCAAGTTAGTCAGTTGCTCAAAGGCCTTTAATTATTTATGTAATATGTAGCTAAACTCCAAATAACCTGCATTCAAAGCCATACACAATCTGATTCCTCTCTATCTAGCTTTATGTCCAACCACGTACTAATTGAACTGTCTGATCCATCCAGTGAGATTTTTCTTCTCATATTACACAAGTGAAATATTTTTTTCTGTCTTAATCTTTGTTCGTATAGTTCCTCCCATTTTATCCTCTCCAACTCCTTTATTGATTTCTAAGTTCAATTCATCTTTCAGCATCCAGCTCTCCCTTATAACTTTTTGGCTTAAACTAATCCTTATCTTATTATGAATTGCCATTTTCGTTCCATTTTGGGTCACATCATCTTAAAATATCTTCTAATTTTTACTTAATTCTTTATTATATATTTTCATTTCTCAGTGATGTTGAAAGCTTGTAAGCGCATCTACCTTAACTAGCACAGAGAGCAAACTTAGAAATGGTAGATGATGTGATTGTTTTGATTTAGAATTCTGGGGAGAGAGCAAAGATTCCCTTTTTATGCTGGAACCATTTATAGAGGGCCATATTGAAGAAATCCAAGCAGTAAGAGCTGTCCCACATTTCAGCTATTCACTCCCTGCCCCAAGGCTGGGCTCCAAATTGGCAGTGGAACCATGTTGTGAATGTGGCTCTGAGCCTAGTGTAGAGAATTTGAACAACAGATTCTATTGATTGCTTCTTTATCTGTGTTTCCCACATATTACCCTTCTGCTCCTGATCAACCTTATTCATTTTACTATAACCAAATCTCCATTTCCAGTTAAAGTGATATGGATAAATGATAGTAAAAAACTAGCTCTTCTTACAATCTTTATTTCCATTTTCCTGACTGGTAAGTTGCATACAATCAATGAAACGTAAAAACTGTTTGTTTATTAAGCTCAAGATAGTCTAACATTTCCTATATATTTGAAAATACTCTTTCTGTTAAATTTCATCTTATAAGAGTGAATTGAGGGTGTTTGATTAATGGTAGTACTCCTTGTTGTTTTTAGTTGCCATTGAGTCGATCCCACCTCATACCCTAAGGTAGAATATATCTGACTGGCACCTAGTTGGAGCAGTGCTGGGAAATGCAGGGTAGACTGTACATGAGATGTGTGTGTAACAAAAATGAGAAGATAACAAAGATTTTTCCCCCAAAGAAAGTAATTTTTAAAATATCAAGAAAATATTATGATGATTTCTTAGGTAAAACCATTGAACTATGATTTCCGTTTTCTACATCTACTATCAGGCAAACTAATGAGTTTAATAACTACTGTTTGCATCTATCTATGGTAACATTGTAATTTGTGTGCATACTGGCAATTCATTGATATTTCTTCTTCTTCCAGTATTGACAGTGCCTAAAGAAAAAGAAAATGAGCAGTTTTTTTTTTTTTTTAAGTTTGTGGGTTGAAAAAAATCAGACTATTGTGAAAAATGAAACAACAAAAATGCTCCTAGTTTACATTGCAAAACAATGACAGTTAAAGTCTAAAAATTGAATAATTTTCAGTGGTTTTATTTACATAATAAGTTTGGTTAGGTTTCTAACATTTATTTTGTTTTTCTATACAAGAAAAGTAAAGCTATAGTCCTTTAAAATAATCAATTCGTGAATAGTTAATACTGCTTAACTGTGGTTTTGAAATGTGAAATATTCATAAAAGATGCCTTTTACATGTGACCCTTCTTTCACATTTGTGCACATGATTCAAAAGCATTAGCTTCATAATTTAAATAATGATATAGTGTGAGAAGACTACTATAATGTGACACCTTGATGTGTTGCACGATTTCTGTCATTTCATCAAAGCAGAAATTGTATTCTTTCTTGTCTTTCTACATATTCCAAACAGTTACAATTCTTAGGGGGGGGGGGAATAACACCTTTGACAAGTGAAATAAGGTATTTCATGACAGCAAAGTGTAGCTGTGATTTGGTTTGAATTCCCTCATAGCTACCCAAGAGATTTGGGGAGGGGGGGTGTCAGGGTTGGCAATGCAGAGGGAAGCTCCAGTGTGTGCTGGCCCTTGTGTGGGCAGCTGGGTCAGGCTCCCTTCTTAAGAAAACAATCTGGCTTGGGGTCGTCACCACCCTTTGTTGTCCTCCCCACGAGGTGATCAGTTGAAGTCTCTGTGGTGACAGAAGCAGTTTGTAACAGGCTTGTCTTTCATGGTCCTGTCTCAGATTTGCTGGCAGGCTTGCGGGAAGACCTGACAAGAGTGGCAGCAAAGGAGACTCAGTGAAATAAGGAAAGGCAAGAAACAGGAGGCTTAACCAGGCAGGTCACATTTACTGCTCTCTTGCTGCAGTGGGTTGGCTGGAAGAATTAAACTGGCAGCTTCACATTTCCTTGCTCCTTCTTCTGTCCATGCACATGAGGGGTAAGAAGATCAATGTACCACAACACAGTGTTGACAGGGTGCTCAGTTAACGTTTGATTTTGTGGCTTTTATCACAAAAGGTAAAGTTCATGGCAGAAGTTCAGCTGCTAAAAATTTCCAAACTCCCACTGCCTCAAACTTCTCTGTAGTTTTGCTGCTTTCTCTGTTAGAACAAAGCTTTCTAGGTAATCTTTACTACAATAATTTTAAAGGGACTTAAAGTTTCTCTTTTCTCTAATAATTAAGAATTAAATGCAATCCAAGCTGTAAGTCTGGATATGAAGTTGGTTCTTAACATATCATGACAGTTTAGATATGAAGAACTTAAGGAAATTATTCTAATAAACTTTGTTTTTGATTATTTTAATTATGATACTGTTAGATTTTTTTATAGACTAGCTACTTAAAGTTTATTACAATTTTGTTATGAATGCAATGAGTAAATCTGTAATTTTACAATGGCAATGGTTAAAATTTGGAAATATATCAGATGTTTATCCATGGTTAAGAGCAGGGACTTGCTTAATAATAATTTTGTTCAGAATAACTATTGGATCAAATTGACTAAATGATCTGATTTATTGTGGTAAAAATATACACAGCAAAGCATATGCCAAATGATAACAAATAAAAAAAAATATTTTAGAAGTTTGAACACAAGAGAGTAATCCTAACAGTTGTGGAACTATTTTCAAATTAGGGAAAAGGCAATTTAATGAATATGAGTATGAAATAACTAGCTGTGGTTAGTGATTACAATGAGAGAGCTATGAGGTTAGAAATAAGGAGATAGTGATTTTATAAGATTAAGCCAGGTGATAAAGAGAATATATATGAGATTGAAGTGCATTTACATTTCAACTTCATAAACTTGTGAATGCATTATGTAGAACCAGTTAACTGTACTATATATTAGCAAAGAATGTATGATCAGTTGGCGTGTACTTTCGATTGGCATTTAGAAGATTAATATTTTCATAATCTCAGACATTTCCTTGACACTATTAAAATATTATGTTTTGTGCCTTGACTCCTTGGAAAAAGGCTTTTAATTCATGGCTTAGATATGTGTTAATGAAGGGAATTTTTTGAATTGGTATGAAGGGCAAAACCAGAAAAACCAAACTCACTGCCATCGAGTTGGATCTGACTCACAGCGACCCTCCTTGGGTTTCCGAGGCAATATCATTATGCAAGTAGATTGCCCAATCTTCCTTCTGAAGAGTGGCTGGTGGATTTGCACCACCAGCCTTCTGGTTAGCAGTCAAATGCCTTAGGCATTATACCACCAGAGCTCCCATGAAGGGCAAAGAGGTAGTTAATTTACCTGGTTTGTTATTTTCCAAAAATTGTTATAATCTGATGCCTTCCAAAAGGGAATGAATGCAAAAGGCTTACAGAGATTCTTAAAAATGTTCCAAAGGATGTTGTATGTGAGGTGCAATTCTTATTTCTGTTCTGCTACTACTACTTCTTAATTGTCTGAGGACAATTTTTAATTGTCTTTTAGCATTTTCCTGGAAACACATGAACACCTGAATTTGATATTATGTTACTTCCATATAAAACAAAGAGGCCATATGTTCCATCAGAATCTTTGAATCATAAAATGCTAGACTTAAAATGGACCTTAAAATAATATTGTATAAATTTCTTCTTATTCCAGTGAAGAGGTGAAGCCTAATGACATTGCCTATCTTCCTCTAGGTCATATAGCCTTTTTAACTCCTTGTTCAGAGTTCCCTAGTTTGTGTTTACCACTCATCATACTTTTAACCTGAAGAATAGTGTAGTTAAGAGTATGATCTCTGAAGCTAGAAAGACTGGTCTTGAATCTTAGCTCTGCCACTTACTAGCTGTGTGAACTCAGAGGAGTGAACTTCTTGGTGTCTCAATTGTCTCAACTGTAAAATGGGGATAATAATAGTAAGTACTTGGTTTGAGCGCTAAATTAGCAAATATGTAAAACACTTAGATTAGGCTGGCACATGAGGGTTTACTGTTATTAGTATCACTGTCAATAATAGTTTATGCAGGAGTAGGAGGCAGCCAAGCTGGAAATAGAAATTGAGACAAGATTGTGAGGAATACAATGGCTCATCTTAGTGTAATTAACATGCTGAATCCGAATTTACATTCCCAGTGTTGTCACCAATGAATTTGAACTTTCATTTTTTTTTTGAAGATTTTCTCTACCTGTAAACTTTTGCAAAATAGGGTTCACATGTTTATATTACCACAATGAAGACAGAATGTGTTCTGGCAGGTTCTATGCATTTAACTGAGATTAAGCTCTTCTGACTGTCAAAGTTAAATATTCACTGACTACTTGTAACATGTTTTACAGTAATCAATTTTAGTGAGAATGAGTACGATAAAAAAGGTAAATATGAAGCACAGATAAATGAAACGGTTATGACTTGTAAATAACAAAGCCAAAATTAATGTTCTGGGACCTTAAATCTTTATTTAAATAAATGTATTTCAAAATGACTGAGATACTTGGAGAGTGTAAACTGGAGGTTAATAAAAATACTTTGTTAATTAAATACATGGAGACCTAAAGGTTACACACGGAAGAGAATATCTAAATTCCCTAAATAGGACAAAGCCATATGAAGTCACAATAAATGGAAAGAGAACTCTTTGTACCTGGGAGGAAGTAGTGAGGGTGACCTGTTTGTAGGATGATCCATGACCCTAAATGTTATCACTGCCTAAATCTTATCTTCGATGTTTTACTTGAGGAGACAAAAGGGAAGCAAGGGTACATCTTGCTAGAGGTTTTGAACTTCATGTTTTTATACTGGCACATTATGACTCCTTCAGAAATGCATTTTTAAAGTCAGGGATCCTGAAATGTGGACTTGCCTTCCTAAAAGTGAAAACATGGTCTGTAATTGTGAAAACCTGTAGTGTGCACTTCTATTGAAATGTATTATTTGTAGAACTTAGCTATTTTTACTACCCTACCTGTTTACTTTCGTGGCACAGTACAGAATCACAGGTAATCATAATGAATGTAGTGCAATGTGTAAATAGTATTAGAGCATCATTTTAGTCACTACCATTGTGCTTCTAAAAGAATTTAGTGAGGTTATAAAGGTGTTAGATTAACAGCCCTAAAAGCTAATGGACTATTACTATTTGCTGTTCTAACACACTGATGGCAGTAATGTGTTCTTGATATGGATGGGCCTCATGTTCTGGTATTTAAAAAGGTGAGATTTTTTATTTAGCTCCGGGTTAAATGTTCATGTGTATATTCCTCACCCCCCATGAAATCATGGTTATTTGTTACTATAGCAATCTGATTAAAATCAAAGTTGACAACCAAGTTTTTCCTTTCAAAATGATTCTATATCAATGTAGACAGTTATAGAAAAGGAGGTGAGATAGAAAGTAGCAGTCAATTCTTTGAGAAAATCCCAAACACAGTGAGCTAAAAAAGGTCCCAGTCTCTATGGCCCTTATGGTTTTATATCGTCAGATTTTGCATCCTGACTCTTCATAGGTAGGTCATATACCATAGGTTGCTTATTGTGGTATTTATGTCTGATTTAGTTGAAACAAATTTAAAATTTTAAAAAAGCAAACAACTGTGTTACTAAATATTTTGAGTAAAATTAAGGAAGTAGGGAGCTCCAGTAACAGGAGGATGACGAACAAAGCTGTGAAGGTGTAGTTTCAAAATTAGATTGGTAATGTTGTTGAAGGACATCAATTTTTGGTAATATTTTTAAGTGAAAAATGATCCTTGTTACCATATGGCAAAATATAGTGAAAATCTGAACTGTTAGACCGACACAGCTGTTAAATGCATAAATGTGGTTCTGTGTTTAAAAAGTTTTCTACTACAGCTATTATGTGGCATTTCCAACAATTAATCTCAGGCTCTTAATCGGCAGGAACTGCAACTTGTGGTAAGCATCACAGATGTAAGAAATTTGATCTCTAGTAATTTACCTGGGATGAAAATGGCTAAGCTATAGGTCTCAACTTAAATTCAGCATACAAGATTGGATAATAGACATTCACAGAACTATTGTGTACAGACTCAAATTATTTGGTTATACCTTTTTTATGGGAAGTTATGTTCTTATAAAGTAGTGGCAACTATATATGTATTCTAAATATAAACATATCTGTACAAGTATAATTATAATCTTTAACTTGCAAATATATGAAGGCTTCTGGAAGACTAATAGTATTAGAAATATTAGAATAACTCAAATTAACTCTTCTTTTCCCTGTAAGCTAATTAAATCTGGACCACATTTTACAAATTATTTATTGATTTAGAACTGCCAGGAACAAATCTACAAATATGGTCTTTATAACTCTTCAAGCGTGTGTATTTTCAGTAGTTGTATAGGAAGTAGATTAAATCCTCAAATAAGACAAAGCACTGACTATTAATGATAAGAAAATTATCGTAACCAGCTACATTTTCTATCAAACTTTCATATGCTACGATTTAGATCCACAGGAACTCATTTGATCTTGATTATTACACTTTTCTCCCCATCTGTAAGTTGCCTTGTCCTTCTTAATAGATATTTGTCGGTTTGGAAACTTTGTGACTATGCGCTCAAAATAACCTAATTCTTTTTCTGGGTCCTGTTATTTTCTTCTGACACTGGAGAAATTGTGACTTTTGGAGTAAACTCCTTCTCTGCTCGATACCATCTCTGACTCATTCATTCCATAATTAGTTAGCTATTGATATAAAATTCGTGCCATGGTGTTGATTGATATTTTGGTGAAAAGAACAGAAACTTGAGTAGAGAGAGAAGTTAAATGTACACCTAAAGAATAACTAAAGGAAACACAGGCCTCATGGGACTCAGAAGGCCTTGAGGACCTGAACTTCTGCTGGTCTGCATGTTTCTGAGAGGTCTCATGCCATTGCCCTTTGCTTGCCTTTATGTGTCTGTTCGCTTCGCTTCTTTCTGCTTAAAATTCTTTGACGGACCCACTTTGTATTTAGGATAAGACCC